CATTTGCAAATCTCCCGTGTGGTCTATGCCTTGCGGGGTTAAATGCAGTCCGAGCTGATCATGTCCCAGGCCCTCAGCGTTCGGGGCCACATCGTGAGTAGGGACTGTCGTTGGGAGTGTACTCTGGGCAGGGACCATATCCTGTTGCACAGCTGGGGGACAAACGAACATGGAAGGGCATAAAACATGGTGCTGTGGCTGTGTGCAAGCAGCTGGACTGTCTGCAGGAGGCATAGGAGCAGATGTATCCGTTTGGGACAACGGAACCACAACAACCCGTGGAGGAGGCACAGAGAGAATTGGGGTATATCACACAAAAAGAAAAACAAGAAAAAAAGCAAAAAATCAGCACAATATGATAGTTTCAGTGCAATTTGGTGCAAAATTCGTCATTATAACACCCCTGGTTAACCGCATGTGCACGCGCTCACGGGCGAGCACGGGACACGCAGGCAGCCATAGCCGACCTGGCATGCGAGGTGCTGAATGGGGCGCATGGTGGTCCTTGGGTGCACGTGGCATCTGTGTGGGGGATCGAGGTTGTGAGTGATGCGTGAGACATACCTGGTGCTTGAGGCGAACGGCATTGGCCGAGATCTGCTCGTACTTCGGGGAGCTGTTGACGTCACCAGCGGCATTGTAGATAGGCTAGATAGGATCAGCCATTCGTAGTCTGGGCGTCAAGCGCCAGTTACGGAATCGGCATTGGTTCATTGTTGATGATGATAAGACTATTCCAACATTGTCACTTGTGAGCTTTTGCTGTGCTCTTATTTGGTGGAACTCATGTTGCAATTCTGCTTTTGGTTCGAGGTCACGACTATCTGGTTTCCTGTGTATGATGCTGCTTGGTTTTCTGGAATTCGTTTTCGCTCATTTTCCTTGCACATTCCAACCTATTGAACATTTTGAACATATGGGGACCAGATGGATTTAGGATGTTGTGCAGCGGAGCGAGACCCATTATTTCAAAACTGCAGGTCACACAGAAGGTGTGCGATGTGCAGGCATTGCAGAGCTGCATGAGTCAGAAGAATCGTTTCGCGTGTTAACGCAATGAACGGCATAAGCACACCACTCACCAAATGTGAAAAGGACAAGACTATTGTAGGTGTATGTATCTTTCCATGTTCTAGCGGGAGGAGGCCCAAAGAAGTAAGACCCAATCACTTCTGAATAAAAACATGAGAAAGAAAGAAAGAATTTCGAGAAAAAACATACTTTAGAAAGTGCAACCATGATAGAGCCTCCCCTTGCTGATCAACTGCAACTTTGCCATGGCTCCTCTCTGTCTCATCTTGTGCAAACCGGTAAAAAAGATATGCATTCTTGAATGTGTGATCCTTCACCACATGATGAAATACCTGCCATAAAAGCACCCACACGGATTAAGCAGGACGTCATAAAGCGGAAGAGAGAGAGAGGGGGGGTGGACACAGAGACACAGAGAGAGAGAGAGAGAGAGAGAGAGAGAGAGAGAGAGAGAGAGAGAGAGAGAGGAG